ATGGCCCGGGAGGCCCCGTCTGACTCACTCTGCTTCTATGTTTCTAAATTGGCATAGATGTTCTTTTTACATTTCTGACTTCACCCTTTACAATATCTATTCCTCTATCTGCTGCTGCTTGTGTATATAAGCATGATAAGTTGAGACACCATTGCCAGCATTTGATAAAAGGCATTGAAGTCCCTAAAAACGTATATGCTATAATAATTTGTACTTTAGGTACAACAAGACTTGTTTTGGCTTCAGTAGGTTAATATGGCTACCCCTCTGAATTCTGCACTTATAATTTCTGAAGAATGAATTTTTACACTTTGGGATCATACTGAGCATCAATATATTTCCTAGTCTGTGAACAAACAGTCTGGTACAAGTGTGTGTAAAAAGATCTGCACTGAAACCACACAGTAGCAGAGGAACTGAGTCTACATGAAAATTCCTCTTTGTGATGCAGATGTGTTACCCAGGTTGCCATAGTAGCTGCATCCATTACAAAAGGGGGCCAGCTGCAGGGCAGAAGTAGGTCAGACTGATCTAAATAATACTCACTTTGATCAGAAAAACATCCAGATCAGTACGAAAGAAGAGGAGGAGAAATGGAAAGGACAGAGACAAGAGTTAAGGATGCAAAGCTATTATGTAAAATGGTTTGCAGTTTATTCAAGCCAAGGAACAGATTCAGGGGCAGCCTTTTAATGGTACATTTGTATTGTTTAAGTTTGTATTTAGACAAATGTGAAGCAGTGTGCAATTGGGCAATAATCAGCCCAAGTCCCTCTCACATATATCTGACCACCCGATTCTATGCATATTTATTACCCTTAAATTTCATGAGGCTTCCTCCTAGGTGAGTGTGTATAGGTTTTACGCTGACTTATCTAATTAATTAGTGGCCTCCAATCGCTTTTTCCAGGCACACTTAGCTATTGTTCAGAGGATTCAGCTTGCTTTGACTTTAATACAAAACCATTCTAAGGACCACCAAATAAGGTATAAAGTAGACCTTGTATGTGATTTAAAACAAAGAAGCACCAAACAGGAGATGGAGCCTGAATCATTCCCCCATCCTTTATTTTGTCCAAAAATTGATTTCTTCTAGCTACTTTTCTTTGAACAGGACTTTGTATCTCACAGCCCCGCAGAAAAGCAGTGTGGGTGCCATGAAAAGAAGGGCTTATCATCTCCAATTCTCTTCTCCTTCCCTGTGTGAAATTACCTCCCTGTTGCCAGTTTAGATCTGGTCATCCATGACCCACATTCTGAAACATGTGCCTGCTGTTCTCATTAACAACTTTTGCCTGTGCTTAATCCTCTCAGTCTTTCGGGCTAGTTAATATGGCACACTTTTAGCATGTGGGTGTATTCTATGCAATTCTTGAGTTCCCAAACCCATATTAAAACTTGTGCTATGTGGGTATATGGCAGACAGAGTTGGCTAATGGCTGGCTAGAGCTCTCAGCTGCCTCTACCCCATATATGAGAAAGCACATTTCCCCCCATGTAATATATAACGTTTTTTATGCTTTAATGATAGCAGTCAGATGACTAATCCATTTGGCAGGGGTCCCACAACACTGTGGGAAATGCTGACCAGTTGTTTGGGAACTATGGATCTTAATTTGGTGTGAGTATCCTGTGTTTTGTAGCACTTCACATTTTGTAACATAAATGTTACTAATTAAAAATAACGAACTTGAGAACTGACAGTGGTTCCATGTGGCTTCTAGATTCTTCTTGTCCTTCTGGTTTAGCACTTTATCTCTAAACTGGAAATGCAGGAAACACTGGCTCTGATTCAAGTATTCCAAACTTGAGTAAGGCAAACTTGTGAGAACAGGGATCGCCCCAGCCCTGACCCTCCATTTTGTCACATTTGTTGTCCTCAACTTTTGCGGGACCACGTCCGAAGAGGAGAGCTTCTTTTATCTATGTAGGGTTTCTCCATGTGAACAGAAATGCTGGAAAATCAGGATTCTGGAGTGTATGGAGACCTCCACAAAGAGGAAGTTCTCTTCTTCAGAAACTTGCCTTCCTCACAGTGGCATATCCAAGGTTGGACCATGGGGTGCAGGTCTGCTGCCCCAGAGTCTAGAGGGCTATCCAGTGAACCCCTGAACCCCCTTTCCTTCTAGCTCAGTGCCTGGTGCTAGTGAAAAGAAGCACCCTGGAAGTCAGACTGGTGCGAGTGAAAACCCCATGGCATACCATTTTAAAAGCAAAGGTTTTGTACATAGGTTTTGAGTAGTAGCATCCTGAACCAATCAGATGCCACAGTTGAGGGACACAACCAGTGAGAACACAGGACTGTTACTTCATGTGGCTGTGGTGTCCCAAAAGGCAACATTTGATTGTTTCAGACAGCTGCTATTTACAAGTCCTAATAAAACTTGACTTATAAAGTGGCATTATAAGCCAGGAAGAGTAGCTGCTATGGTGGCTGCCAGATTAAACAACAACAACAACAAAAGAGGAGAAGAAAGGAAGGACGGACGGACGGACGGGGACCTGTCAAAGCTACCTGCATCCTTGTCTCAATGAGTCAAGAGTGATATATAAGATGGAGAAAGGCAAGCCTGGGCACTCCTTCTAATTTATTTACTCTGTTCATGTTCAGGATACCTGAATAAGGTTAACACATAACTGGAAAGATATGATAGTATCTACATGTCCTGTGCATCAGCTGTAGTTTTTCCATGTGGATTGCACTATCTAAGCACAGTTCTCCTGCTTTTGGCAGATATCCCATCAGCCACCATGCCTGAAATTCAATCCTATGTTGGATGGCTGGAGCATCTCTTGCAGCTGCTTTCCAGGGGACTCTATGGTGGTATGGCTATGGAAATATCAGGGCCAGTATTAGACAAAGAAACTATGGTGAAGTGTGGAAATTTGTTTCTCACTGTGGTTTCTAAAAACCAAATATGCTGAAATATCATGACAGGATCCAGGCCACACAACAGGCCATCCTACATAAGAAACCATAGCATGTCATGTCATGCGAACCCACCTTGGTTGTGCTATTGGTCTGTTGTCTTGTCTGAACTCAGCTGTGGCATTTCGTCATGGTACATTTGGTCTTTAGACACCACAATTCTATAGTTTCACCATACTACCATGACTTGTGTTGTCTGGATGCAAGATTGTGGTTTCCATGGTCCTGGAACTAGCACAGAGACCCTGGAAAATGCAGCAACTCCAGGAGTTGCTCCAGCCATTCATTCAGCTTTTATATGTGGACATGAAGAGACAAGTGACATAGACAGGGAGCAATGTATCTTGGGATTGAATTTCAGGCATGGTGGCTGATGGGACATGTGTCACAAGTGGGAGGATGTTAACCATGATAACAAAGAAACCACTTGATCGTATGTCATGGTTTTAAAAAAGGATGGACTATGGTAACTTTCCAGTGTTACTTGTCATGTCATGTGAAAGTGGTTGTTGTGTCTTGCTAGTTTGTTTTCTGACCTACTCCATACATTTCTTAGTAACGAACTTAATAATGAGAAAGCAACTTCAGGGTGATTGCATGCAAGTTACTATATCATATTATTTATATTAGTGTAATCACTTTATTAGCTCGGTCACAAGGACACAAGACATCTGGGCAAGCTTTCAAAATCTCCACATCTCTCTCTCTCAGGCAAGATTGTGTGTGCCTTCAACATCAAGTCAGCTTTTTGCTCTCCCTCCCCTGCTTTTTGTAACCTCTTGTCTGAAGAAGCAATTTGGACTTTTGAAATCTTGCACACAATTTTTGCATCCTTGTGGTTGACCTAATAAAGGCATTACATTACAATTAATTTTGGAATTTTATGGGCAATATGACTACCTTGCATTTTATATCATATAACATTAATTTCAAAATTGTATGACACCTTCTAAGTGTTCCAAGTACCCATGAAGAATATAGAAATGAAAGGTAAAATATATATTATATATTGTTATAAAAGCCATCTATGTGGAATTGCATTATAATATCTGTAGGAGGTGCAGTTTTACAGGCAAACAGCACATGATTTCTTACATGCATTTCACTGGTATAACAGGCATCCTACATAAATTTTGATATAGCACAATTAAGACATAAGTTTAAATTCTAGCTCAGGTATAGATTTGCTGCCTTGCCTTGATATTGTGGTATCTCAATTCCATTTTCCTACCTGGCATATCAATCAATGCACTGGCTATTGTGTACGTATCAGAGGTATGTATTATAACTACTTTGCACAATACAAATGCCATGTGGATGGTAACATTCTCTTACTAATTAACTCAATGTAAATATTAAGTCAAAGGTGTTCAACCTTTGAAGTATAAGTTATAACCACCCCACCTGAAGTCCCAGTCCAGCCCACTGAGATTCTCCAGATAGACACCTCCCCACTTTCCCTAAGCTACGAAACATTTAGGACAGGGTCTCAAACTCGGGGCCCGCGGGCCGATTGCCAGGAGGGGCAGGGCACGGGGGAGGGGCCCTGCGGCCTTCAAAGCGCCGGTGGCGCCCGGGCCGGCCTCCGGGAGCCACGCGGGATGAGCGGCCCACCACCACCGCTTGATGCGGCCCAGCCTCACCCAGACTCTACTTCCAGCGGCCCCCAGGTAAGTTGCGCTTGAGACCCCTGATTTAGGGGTTTCCCAGCTTTTGCATTTCCCCCCATTCTAAGAGACTGAAATGCCTCTCCAGTTATTTGTAGCAATAGCTGTAAGTTACAATATGCAGGTATTTCTGGTATACATTTCATTACATGTTCAGACCCAGCCACCATTGGAATTTGGTGCCCAAAACACTCCCAAAATTGAATTGAACCCTTGGGCTGTGAGTGGTTCAACAGCTTTTCACTAAGCTGCCTGGTGACAACCATAAAACACTAATGTGGGTATCTATTACACAGAAAGATATGATTGGCCAAAATAGGAAAAGCAATTGTGAGGCATCGCAAGCCACATGATGACATGAGGCAATCAGCAGGTTGTCAGGCACAATTTCTGTGTGTTTGTGTGCCCAAAAGCAGCAGTTTGTTTGCTGTACCATATTGGTTGATATCTGAGTTTTCAACTGAAGCAAGTACTTGAATAGCTGCAACCAAGTGCTCCCTGGTAAGCAGAGTATTTTTTGTACCGAAAATGTTATTTTAAAAAATGTTGACGAGTAATTAGCATGCTAGCAAGCCACCTTAATAGGTGAAGCAAGGTAGCCAGAGCCCACAGATTAGTGGGGGTGCCCCAAATTAAACAATACATCTTTATTATACTGAGGCCTGGGGTACTTCTAGATGGAGGGTTCCTAGGAGCAGCAATCACAAGACAACATGCAATTGTTCAAACATTTTTTCCTTAAATGCTTTTCTGTGGTAAAGAAAATGCACTCCCCAAAGTGGTCTGCACTCTTGTTTTTTGGCGCCAGGCCAAGACCTTTTTATTTAAACACTATTTTAACTGTTAATGGTTTACTTGTTGGTTTTAAATTGACCAGGCTGTTTCCACTATTTTATTTTATGTATTTTATTTATTTGATGATTTTTTTGCATTTTACACAGGATTTTAATGATTGTAAGCTGCCCCGAGGCTCATGCGATGGGGCGGCATATAAGTTGTATAAATAAATAAATAAAATAAAATGAAAAAGTGGTAGAAAACATGGAAGTGTCAGGAGTAGAAGACAATGTGATTCAGACCCCTTGTACATTACCATGAAAGGGGCAGGGCACTGGCATAAGAAAAGCCTAATTTGAAAGTATCCTAAGTAATATATGTAATATTGTACTTGTTGAATTTCTGTTCCAGATTTTTCTTTTGTAGGTCTCCTATTGATATCCTCCATCTCTAGCTTTCCCGGTCATGGAAGCCATTTCTCATATTCTGCAGGACATGCGTGATTACTGGGCGGACCATTTCTCTCACAGGTTTTTACCCAGAAGGCCAATACTTCGTCAAGCAACCTCTTTGTCTACTTTCTATCTGCTGGACTACAAAACCCGTCAAGTTGAACTTGGGATGGATTATGGCCCTCCATGTACTCAACTGAGCAAAGCAAAATTTGTCTTTCACAATGGTGAGTGGCAGAGTGACAGTGTCCCTCAACAGATGCCCTTACTGCAGTTATTCTCCTCTCCTGACAAGGAATCACCAAACAAGGCCCTGAAGAAAGCCAACAAAGCACTACTGGAAGAGAACAACTATCTGAAGCTGCAACTTGAGTTGCTGATGGACATGCTAACAGAGACCACAGCAAGACTACACTCAGTGGAGAAAAGGCTTGACACTACTTCATGGCATCCAAAGATTAAAAAGACAAGCAAGGTGCTGATGCTTCAATCTTAAAACACCAAGAACATAGGACCAGAGAGAATTGTATTTCTGAAGTAGTTGGGCTCCTTGTGTCCAGACACTCAATAAAATGTCAAAGATGATTTGATCATGGCTTTATTCTTACTTAATCTGTTTCCATGTTATTCCATTTCCTTTCCTCTAGTTTTTAGGTTTGATCTAATGATTGTAATGAAAATACACCATGATGTACTTGATTTTTTTCTTCTGTCTGCAAAATCTTGGATGTAGCCAACCTCTCAAAACCAATTTACAATTGTAATTCTAAAAATTCTACCACATTATATATTATCCTAACAAAAGGATGCACTTTACAGCTATCACTAAAACAGTTCTAGTGCTACATTATGATGCTTTTTCTTTTTTAATGCCATCTATATCATACTTGTTTTCTGTGTGTAGAAGTGCGTAACAGTCACTCTGCTTGAGCATAGTACCAGGGAATGAACTTGGTTACTTTTGTATACTAATTTAAATTTTCCCACAGAGCTACAGCTCTGTCCTGACCCTCTTCACTACTGGGTTATAGGAATGGGATCATCCCATGCAAGTCCCCTGAGACTTTAACAAATAGGACAGGATACTAAAGTTTTAAATAATAAATAAACAAATGGTACCCATAGGGAGGGAATTACATTCTGATCCCAAAGAAGGGCAATGCCAAAGAATGTTCAAACTACTGCACCATTGCACTCATTTCACATGCTAGCAAAGTTATGCTCAAAACCCTACAAGCTAGGCTCCAGCAGTATGTGAACCAAGAACTACCAGAAGTACAGGCAGGATTTCGAAGAGGGAGAGGAACTAGAGATTAAATTGCCAACATACGCTGGATCATGGAGAAAGCTAGGGAGTTCCAGCAAAACATCTACTTCTGCTTCATTGACTATGCTAAAGCCTTTGATTGTGTGGATCACAACAAATGGTGGCAAGTTCTTAAAGAGATGGGAGTACCTGACCATCTTATTTGTCTCTTGAGAAACCTATATGCGAGTCAAGAAGCAACAGTGAGAACTGGACACGGAACGACTGATTGGTTCAAAATTGAGAAAGGAGTTCGGCAAGGCTGTATACTGCCTCCCTGCCTATTTAATTTATATGCAGAGCACATCATGAGAAAAGTGAGGCTAGATGAATCACCAGTTGAAATTAAGATTGCTGGTAGAAATATCAACAACCTCAGATATGCAGATGATACCACTCTAATGGCAGAAAGTGAAGAGGAACTAAAGAGCCTTTTGATGCGGGTGAAGGAGGAGAGTGCAAAAGTTGGCTTGAAACTCAACATTAAGAAAACTAAGATCATGGCAGCCGGTCCTCTCACTTCCTGGCAAATAGATGGGGAAGAAATGGAGGTAGTGACAGATTTTATTTTCCTGGGCTCCAAGGTCACTGCAGATGGGGACTGCAGCCAAGAAAATAAAAGACGCTTGCTCCTGGACAGGAAAGCTATGGCAAATCTAGACAGCATACTAAAAAGCAGAGACATTACCCTGCCAACAAAGGTGCGTATAGTCAAGGCTATGGTTCTCCCAGTTGCAATGTATGGCTGTGAAAGCTGGACCATAAGGAAGGCTGAGCGCCGAAGGATTGAGGCCTTTGAATTGTGGTGCTGTAGGAGACTTCTGCGAGTCCCTTGGACCGCAAGGCAATCAAACCAGTCAGTCCTAGAGAAGATCAACCCTGACTGCTCTTTAGAAGGCCAGATGCTGAAGATGAAACTCAAATACTTTGGCCACCTAACGAGAAGGAAGGACTCCCTGGAGAAGAGCCTAATGGTAGGAACAATAGATGGCAAAAGAAGAAGGGGACAGCAGAGGATGAGGTGGCTAGATGCAGTCACTGCAGCAGTTGGTGTGAGCTTAAATGAACTCTGGGGGATGGTGGAGGACAGGAAGGCCTAGAGGAATGTTGTCCATGGGGTTGCGATGGGTCGGACACAACTTCGTGACTAACAACAACAACAACAACATAGGGAGGAAAAGCATGTCCCACTGGCCTTGTCAACCACAAGAGCCAGAGCATGAACCTTCCATTGCAGCTGTGTGCCATGACGGTCCTTGGGTCTATTCTGTGGCTTCTTTCCTTTCCATCCTGAAATACGGTTTCCCACAGGATACCCGTATGGTAATTATTGCCTTGTGGAGGTCACATTAACATCTTCCAAGCATGCATGGGAACTGAACCTGCATCTCCTATTTCTTAGCTCTTTCCTATTGAGCTACTGGCTAGTTCATAGTGCCCTACTATTAAACTTTTTTTTCCTGGCCCATTAGGCCTCCCTCCTTCTCCCTCACAAAATACTTGACCCTCTCACAGGTATACAGCACTTTTGTGCATGGAATCCTTGATTTGTTCCCTGTGCTACCTTGTACATTTTACAGGCAAGCCTCCAAGATGCTGGATGATGGCACTCACTGACTACTTTAATGGGAATGGCAGTCCTTCCTTCCCCATGAAGCCCCAACCCTTTACCTGCCAAGAGGCAGTGGCTTGCAGGCTGCTGCTGACAGGATTGAGCTGTTGAGGTATTCCAGCCTGTGTATGAAGATAGCTCCGTGACCACGCCTGGGTGGCCTCTCAGGCAGGGGAAGTGCTGCAGCTTGTTTCTAGCGCCAGACTGGTGTATTGAACCATATGAAGTGTCAACAAGCTGAGCTGATGATTCCTTCTGACCATTGCTATATGTTAAGGCTTCACTAATGCAGGACTGTCAATACACAATGTCATGAATTTGTGAGGGACATAATCAAGCCTTTGACTAAGACCCTCACCAAATTCTCCTCTGTAAGCTTTTGAGTACAAGAAGATTAATGGACCAGTTACTAGTTAAAGATTGTAAGGCAGAGAGTAGGTATCAACAGACAGTTAGCACAGTAGTAAGAAGTATCCTCCATAAGAATTTGTGCTGGGATGGGGCATTTAAACATGTTAAAAGTGATATGAGGATGGAGATGAGCAATGAGTGCCCATGTTTGCTGATGTCATTAGATTATTTAGAATGATGAAGAAAATCAAAGCAGACAGGCTGTGAAGAGCTCCCAGATGTTGCCCGTTCACTGCAAACTGGATAAATGAGCAATGAAATTGCAAATCTGATCAGTGGGAATGGATGTACATTGGAGGAAAAAAATCCCAACATCACACCTACATTTGATGTTTGTCTAACTAGGAAAGAGACCTTGGGAGTTGAAGTAGATCATGTAGTGAAAATTCTGACTGTTTGACAATTTGCATAAGCCATACTCACCAGGTTCGCATGACTGCCAAGCAGGACTGCATATTTAAAATGGTATTTGCAAGCACCCTGCACACGCCACAGCCAAACTACAGTTTAAATAACCAACAGTGAACAGTTGTGTCATGAGAACAGCTTACACTGATCCATCAATTAAATAGGGATCATATTATCAATACTGTGCACAGGAAGACACCGGGGGGAGTTTCGGTGGGCCAGTGTGGAAGGTGAAAACACTGATAGAAACAAGCTTGATGATAGGGAAAGGTAATTTTGAGGGGAGATGTAACAAGTGGGATCTTGTATGATTGCGACCTGTGTGAATCTCATGGCTGCTCTCATGGCTGCTTGACAGGTAATCCTTGCAAAGACAGACAGAAGCCTGGTGAGTTGGTTCTAGAGAAAAAGGAGAAAAGAAAGTGCTAAAAATCCATGCCACTCTTTGTAGAGGAGAAGGCAACATTGTTGTAGAAGGAGCTTTCACAAACAGATCAAACAAAATGAATTCTACTTAGAAACAATAAACATATTAACCTTTTACCAGAATGTATATAAATGCCTTTACTTCCGCTTAGCTCTTTGGAACCATTGCCTCTATTCCTCCTAGTTGTTTTCACTTTGGGAGTTATGCAACATTTTTCTGGAACTGTTCCTACTTAGAAGTGTATGTTTGAACTTATCTTTTGCTGACTGTGCTCTAAGCAGTGGCTTCTGCTTCTTCCCCATTTCAGATAAGTAGCAGCTATCAAACTATGTGCAGCTGTTTTCAGAAGCATTCCAATTCCTGTATGCAATGAGCAGAATGGCCATATGGCAAGGTTGCTGAAAGCTAGGAGAAACTGGAATGACGGGTACCAGGTCCCTCTGCAGCCCAGACTATAATCTGAGAAGCACCGTCATACCGTCAGCATCACAGTCTGATCTGCTGTTCTGCTGTTGTAACGTTTTTCCTTGAACTAGTATACAAAATGCAGAAAGCCAGCATGTCCATTTTATGTTTTCTTCATCATTCTTCATGTTGCCTGCATCATTGACCTAAGTGGATAAGGAGCCTGCTAGAATTTTTCTTTGGCAAAAAAATAGGAAGAAAACTCTAAATAATCCAGCTATGCAGGTTCAGACATCATGCTCCACAACCAGGCAATTGTGGATTGTAAATTAAAAGTGAAAGAGGAGGGCATGCTGCAGGCAAGATACCTACTCTCTCTTGCATTTCCCCATCAGCCCATGGTTTATTGAACCCATAGCCTGTAGTTACCTACAAACCCAATGATATGGCTTCCTCTTTTTATTTTTTTATCCAACTGCTCTCAATCAACCTTCCATCCTCAGCCTTTCTTTAACATACAGTGTTAATAATCTTTCCTTCTTGTTTGCTATATTCTGTTTGAAAAAGTTTTATCCTTAAACACCCTCATTCCAATTATGAGTCTCACCCCACCAGGTTTCAGTGTCCCTATTGTCTCATATTCAAGTACTTTAAAAACCCTGAGAGTTTAAGACAAGAGTTTTAAGACATGGAAATGTTTTTTCACACTAGCTCAAGTTCCAAAAAAAAAAAAAATAGGAAAATATTCATTTACTACTACATTTAGATTTTTACTGGAAAGTTTCCCACCTTAAAATGTAAAATACTTGACATGTACAATATTTGGAAGGGATAAAGCAGGCTGGGTGCTGTGGTGTTGCAGATAAAAAGAAGTGATAAGAATTAAGCATACTCTTTCAGCACATTCCTTCTCTGCTTCAAATAGCCTACTCTGACATCAATTCAGAGGGAGGGAGGAGCTAAGGTTGTTCTGGGCTCAGTTTTCTTGCATGATATTATATGCAAGTTCCTAATGAAAACATTTTGGTGGGAAGGCTCTGGCCTACAAGTCCAGTGAATTATAAATAATTAAGCAATCCAATTAAGCAAATAAGGAATTCTGAGTGGTGCTCAAAATCAGTACATTTGTTAATCCTGCAAGGCTGAGATACTTTATTTCCTAGTATTTCTTAAAAATTTATGAAACAGATTGTATTTAAAGCTTGTTTGGTTGATCTAGACAGTATACAATCTACGTATGTTTACAGTCCACAGACTGCAGATTCATATGCATGCAGTTTATTTCCATGTAATGGTGCATACATATGTTCATACGGGAATTTCTAGATGATAGCTCAGAATGGTTTTGCTAGTTGAAGAGTATTCCTTTCACCAAAAAAGGAATGTGACAAAATATTATAGCCCTTGCATTACTGTTGTATTGCAGCTTACTGAGTAACATACAGTAGAAAGGAGGGATTTCTATCTTAATTCAAGGAATTGCTCATAAAAATACTGCTGCTAATCTACAGAGAAAGATTTACTAGTATGTTTAGTGGGACTTACATAAGATTGAGCTCTCTAGAAAAAATAGTATTTCTACCTTAACCATTATAAAAATAAGTAGCCCAGTTGTACATAGATATCTTTAAAAATCTAGCCACCAAAACACCATTATGAAACTGAAAACTGAATAAAGCCACTAGTGAACATTGAAAATATTTGCAGGAACAAATTAATAAGGAGCTAAAAGGAAGCAATGAATTAATAGGAGCAATGCAGGCAAGTATACAATTTAAGGTAAGTCTCAAAGGACACAATCCTGTTCGTTGCACCCTTAAGTACTCATTAGTCCATGAAGAAAGGGGCTTATGAGCATCCTGTATAGAGCTGGAGAAATGCCTTGTCCTTTGTGCCTTGCTTTTTTTCTTAATGAACTTCACTGTCTATCTAAAGCATTTTGGAAGTGGAGTAGCTGAAGTCTCAAAATAGCTTGTATCCTGGACTTTCCAGTCTTTTCCCCACACTTTTGCTCAAAAAGCCTCTTTTTAATGCTTCTCTGAGCTTGCACTTCCAGCCTTGGAGAAGCAGCTGGCACATTTCTTTCTATATCACCTGGGAGAGGGACAGAGCTTCAATTCCCATCTTCAGTGCCTGAGTCTGTGGAGCAGTGACCTTGGAGCTCAGATTCTGAAATATCCTATGGACCCTTGGATACTGTCCAGGACTTCACAGGACTTCTCCCAAATCAAAACTTGCTGTTGTACAAATGGGCTGCAAGACTGGATGTTGTATGGAGTAATTGGCTGTCTATTTTTGCAGGCACATTTTAATTTCCACTCTCTTCTCACATCACCCACTTTCTTTCAAAATTAACTAAAAAAAAGCCTTCTTCTCAGATTCCGTCATGGGAGAGAGAGCTGAACACTAGGAATTTTGTAGGGGCAAGGAGGGAGTGAGGTTAATGCCTCGGTATCCCTCCACGCCAGGATCCAATCCATGGAGTAACATGTGACTTTTAAGTTCACATTCCACACCTAAAAGAGGAGGCACCACATATGGTGCTTGCGGTAACTGTAATTGGTCTGAAATTTGACATAGTTCTATACATTATCACATAAATCAAGGATGCCAAGTTTCAGCTTATTAGTGCAATAGGTGTCATTTTGCTAAGCAACAGAATTTGATGCTTATCGCAATGGAACCATTTTACTCTAACAAAGAGGTACCACTCTGCCTGTCTGTCTTTTCAATTCTATGCCATCCCATAATCCAAGGATTAATTTCAATTTGCTTTCCTTTATTAACATGTCCAGTTTGTCCTGTTTATTCCCATATAGAGACATTGGAAATCATGGGTTGTACACTCCAACCCACATATTTGCTTCTCGCCTTGCATATTAGTGTTTACCTGCACTACCATGCTGGTTTTAGTCATACTTCCATTCCCCCCAGTAGGAGGTGTTAGCCACTCTTCTGTTATTCCATTGTCCTTCCCTGCAAGATTTAATTTGTCCTCCTGACTAGACTGTGAGATTCCTGACAAAATGCATACTCCCCAGTCCTGGTGAGATGCAGCCCATCTTCTGCCACAAGTCCTTCATCATAGAATAATACACCATGCTCCATGAATCCAAACAACACCATTTGTGCAGCCAGTCATCCACTATTCCCTCTATATGCCATAGCCATCAACAAGAAGGACAAACTGGATCTAGGCATTATTTTGGGGGGGTTGAATACAAACTTGTAACATAGCCTCCTTCTGACATAAAACCACAGTGACATCCCATACAATAGTCTCATGAGTCATAGAAGTTTCTACATTTTGCTTACAGTTTCTACATTTCTGAAATTACAGCATGGGTCACACTAGAGCTTTTCTACCATGGTCTCAGACATGCCCCCACTTTTGTTATATTTATTTAACATCATATATAACCCTGTCATGAGTACACTTCTATTACTTGTTTTGATATGAAGTGTCTTTAGCTTTTCTGATACCTTCCTCTCTTTCTCTTAGTATGCAATGCTGCTACCAGGAATTTAACCTTTCCCTTCTGCACTCACCTAGGTTTCTGTTAGCTTCTATCTCTCAGACCCTTGTAATACTTGACAATATTAGGTTTTGACTCTTCCTAGTTGCTAATATAGCCTCTAAGTAGTATATCCTTTACTTCCTTCCCTTTCCATTTGAGTCTTAAATGCTTTTTATACCACTCTGAGATTCTAATGAGAAGGCTGCCTCTGTAGATTCTGCAAACTGCTGACAGATCACAACTGTTGACTGTCTGAAAGTATCTGTTACAGTCTGATGAATTAACCTGGTCCAAAAATGGGTCACATAGTTAATAGCAGGTGCCAGCTCATGAACCCATATAATACCAATTCTATGTAAATTACATTGGTTACCAGTTGAAGCCTAGACCCAACTTAAAGTGCTTGTTTTAACATACAACGTCCTAAATGGCTAGGACCTTGCTACCTAAAGGACCACCTTTTCCTATATATACCTACCTGCCCATTAAGATTGGGGCAGGAGGTCCTTCTGAAAGAGCCATCCCTCAAGGAGATGAGAGGGGTGGCAAATAGAAGAACTTCTCAATTGCTGCCCCTCATTTATGGACTAGGCTCCCTGGAGAATTTTGCCTGGTGCCAACATTCTTCTCATTCTGGCTCCAGGTGAAAACAATTCTCTTCTCCAGGTATTTTAATAAATTATTTTAAATTGACTTGTTAATTTGTTGTTGTATATTGTTGTTCTGCTCACTTGATACAATTTTAATGCCCAATTGTTATATTGCTCTGGTTTTTATATAAAATTGATTTCATTGTTTTTAGTATTTTAGCTTTTGCAATATTGTTTGCTGTAAGCTGCCTAGAGACTCCTGTTGAACTTGTGGGTGGCATATAAATCTAATAAATAAATAAATATTTCTCCTTGCACACTTCCAAGCTCCTCCATACAATCTCAGTCACCAACCAATCATCTCACACTCTCATTCCCCTCTTTTACTGCTCACTTTTTTCTGAAACTTATGAACATTTAAAGGAATATACTCATAACACTTTAAATCATCATAAACCGAAAAAATTAGTTTTCTGAAATTTGTTGACTATGCTGTCAATTTTTGTTTGGGTCTAATAAAAGTATTATCATGTCTCAGCTTTTTAATATTCTGAAAAAACTGATGTGGTGCAAATATTTTATAATTAGAATAATTTATGTAATATTATATTTTTTGGTCTTTTGAGTTGAAAATCATGAACTAGCTCCCCATATAGCCAGGCTTGGCTGCATGGGGTGTGTTTACCATGGGCATTTGCTCACGTATTTTGGGCCTTCAAATCCTATTAGCAACACATCCCTGGGTCCAATGTCACTGATTATGGCGCTTTCCTCCACTCACCAACTACCTCTCTGTCAATGCTCAAGGAACTCGGGGACTTTGGACTGAAAGTGCTAATCTGTTTATCAAACTAGAAGTCAAGCTTTGTTCCACAAGTACACTTTCTCTTCTAAAGAATGAATTGGATTCACACATTTTGAATAATACATGCATAGAGTCAGAGAAAAAAATTCATATATATCCGCAAGCATGGTCTACATACAGTTTAGACTGAATTTTATTATTAAAGGTAATCAGTTGTAGTCTAGACAAGACTCCCAGATCTTTTCCCCAGGTAAAATGTATCCAACTCCTATACTTGGTCCCCAGTGACAAAAGATCAGCTCTGCCCTTCATCTTCCTACCAAGGCCCTCATGGTCACTTGCAATAGGTTTAAAGCTGTGTTTGGCAATGCTGTTTGTATCAGTTAATGTCTTCCAGCCAGGATGAAGCAATAACATGTTCTGTGTACAACATTCAAAATGAAGCAATAAAGTTTTCAAAGTGAAATGGAAGATTTAGACTGGGTGTTAGGAAATATTTTCCAACTGTAAGATGCAGTTCCGTGTACATTTATCTGACAAAAAGCCCCACTTTAGATTTCATTTCCAACTAAACATGGATCAAAGGAAGAAATTAACCAGAGGCAGCCTTTAAAAGTTGGTTAGCCAAGCGTTCCATTGGATTAACCACCTGTTGAGTAAAAAAAATTAATGGCAGAAACTTTAGACTTTCCTACAAGTGGAAACACTTGAACTTCAATTTTTAGGGCTACAGTGTAACAGCTCTGATGCAGAGCCAGTACCAAAGTATCCTGCCCATGAACCAGTTCAGATGTCCCAGAGACAATTCCATGGATGAGCATTGTGTGTGAATCATTTCAATTTCAATTCAATAGGGCATTCCTGGGTTGCTTCATGTTGTCTGAACCCAGAACTTCTGGGTGGTTTGAGGATTGGTTCTGTATTGTTTAGCCATTATCAACACCAAGTTTCTAGCTTTGGATGCCACAAAACCAGGAATGGGGTGTTCCTGGGTTGCTGATTAAACTGGAAGCAGCTCAAATGCAGTGCTTGCCTCCAGCAATTCTTGAATTAGGAATTGCCCAGGAATTGCCCCCATAACATGTGAACTAGGTCCCTGTGCAACATAGGTGAGGAAAAGGGGAACAGTTCTGCAGCTAAGAAGTAGCTCACTTGAATTTGCAGCCTTCTCTCTCCTTTGCCTTAAATCAGGGAGAATATGACTTGAGAATAAGACAGAGGCAGCACACAGATTTTTATGAGCTAAATAAAAAGAACCAAAACTGAAAGATGATGATCCATTGCTGGTATGTATATAGGGGACAGAAAGAGTTTTGCTGCAAGCACCCCTAAATTGGTCATCACAATGGAGCAGCAGTCAGCCAGCGAGAACGGATTCTTTTTACAAGTTTACCAAATAGCATGGCTAAAGACTTCTTTCACTTGTCAACAGCCATGAGATGAAGTCTGTGCAAGGAACTTGTGCAGTGCTGGGACAAAGTCAAAGAAACGCTACCTCGAGTGGAAAACATCTGTACCCACGAAGTGAAAAATGTACCAAGTGCACATATTTTGACTTATAAACTCTAGCCAAGAGGGTGTCCACTAGCAGAAAGGGAGGTTCACAGACCTTTGACAAAGATAACTTGATCCAGTGTCTGCAAGAGGTAAGCCCCGCAACTCCGTCCCACCCTATTCCCTTACTCTATTAGTCCTATGGAGCTCGGTGGAATTTGCTTCTTTCTCTTAAGCGGGGACAGAAAGTAGCGAGCCCCTTGCTTTTCCCAGCCCGTGTCCAGTATTCTGCGCTGAAAAATACAACGACCGGGGGCCTTTAAACGAAGGAAAGAGGGGGCTGAAGAGGCCGCCTCTTCGGTTCCTTTGTAACCAAACGATTGGCTGGTGACGGGGACGGGAATGGGGAGGGGTTACTTAATCTGATGTCATAAGCCTACAAGTGGGGGAAGGAGTTATTTATAGAGGCGAAGAGGAGCCGCGAGGAAGCTTGGTGAGTCCAGGGGAAAAAGCGGAAGGCGCGCGGGTGGCCTGATTTCGAGGACCGGCGGGAAGGGGGTAAAATCATACATGCCAGCTCTGGCAGGAAAAGCGAGTGTTTCTTCGCCAACCCGCGCAGCTCTCTTTTAACCACCTCGTCTGCTCTTATTGTTTAGCGCCCCGCTTGGCTGATTATTCGTCGTTCTCCGTATCCTCCTCAATCGTCACCGAACAAAAAAGAAAAAGACTAGGCGTGATGGATCCGTGTCACACCGAGGAGACCGGCCCAGAGATCCCCGGCCTTGGTGAGTGGGCTCCGTTGATTGGCAGGGCGAGGATGGAAGGGATCTGCGGCCCAGCGACCGTTAAGGCCGTTGCTGCGGGTTTTCGAGCGCTGGCGCAGATCGGGGGGAGGGGCCTCGATTCCGGCGCCGCGATCCGTCGCATTTTGCTCTGTAAGTCCCCCCTTTCCCCAATATCGGTGCGGTTAGCACAGACGAGAGCCTAGAATTGCTGCCCCAGTCCTTTTCGAGCTCGCTCCTTCCCAGCGGAAAAAGCGAGTGACGCTCCTTTTCGCTCCCCTGTTTATTGTGAGCCTCCACTCCTTCCCCCCTCCTTTTGACCACGTCCTGCCTCCGCCATTGTGGTGGGTGTTGCCTAGACGGCGCGCTGCGCTCTCGGCGGCCATTCCGAGGCCTAGGCAGCAGCGAGCGTAACGTACAGGCCGCAGCGGAAGGGAACGGTTGGCATCAACTTGGTTTTGTTTCTCCTGCCTCCTCGCTTTTCTCCCCCCCCCGCCCGTTCACTTGAGGGAGTAATAAAGTTGGCTAAGAGCAGCGATCAAGGATCGCGTGAGGGAGGGGGCAGGAAGCATTCTTCTTATAGGCATTCTGGAAATCCCCGAAATGGAGGGGAACGGAGCACGTGACCGACGGCGGTACTGAGACGAGGCGATCGGGTGGAGCAACGTGGGTTGAAGTTCATGCCCCCTCCCCCCGCCGCTTCTCTCCACAGCGACCTGACCTATACTGGGTGTTTTTTAAAGATGTTTTTTCCTTCTCTTGTCAAAACGCTCAATCGAAAGGAAACGAAGCCTCATCACCATGGCTTCATTTTTATCTAGCCTTAAAACTCGATTGTAATGTTACCTGTGCTAATTGTAGTGACCAAGGCACCATGGCATGTAGCTTTCCGAAAAGTGTGATGTTTTGAAAACTTATGATTCCTTATGTAGGTGGTTTGAATAGCTTCATCTAGCTAAGGAATACAAACTTAAGAACTCACTTGGGAGTCAAACTTCTACTGAAAAGACTTGGTACAATTCTGTGTGCATTCAGTCAGAACAAGGTCCTACAACTCTCAGCATGGCAGCCTGAAGGTGCAGGCAATTCCATGTTTTTGAACTTTATTTTTTCCATTATCCCAAGGACCAGAAAAGATTCCGCTACAAAGGTTTAAGAAAAACTTAACTGCACTCAAGTTGCCTGTGTAAATGGCTTTTAATCCAGTTTTCATCAATACCATCACTTCAGTTCTTGTTACATTACTCTTTCCCCATGAGATCCTGATCGTACAACTTTGTGCTTGCATTCAGTTTGAAATCACTATTACGAGTAACAGCAATATTTGTAAATATAGTGGTGCTGTATTGAAGGAAACATTTCTTGTATGAATTGATTCTAGCTAAAGACAGATACCAACCTCACAATGTTTATTGCAACATGAGCATCTTTAAAGCACCAAAGCAGCTTATCCAGCTGGACAAAAACATTCTAGCAACCTGTTATTCATGCACACCCAGTAGCAAGGTTACACAAACTTTGTTGAACAAGATGGTGTGAGTCACCGCTTCTTAGTTCTTTATGTGGCAACCTTCTGCCTTTATTTACGTGTCCAAATAGAAAACAGCATCTTGTTTGATATCAAATAGTCTCTTGATATCTATTAGTTTATTTGATAGCTAAGCAATTTGTACACAGGAAAGAAATGCCAGTTTTCCAGATGTTGTTGAGCAGTAGCTTAGTTACGTAGTCAAGAATGCCTTTACCTGTGAAAACAAGATAAATGAACTAAGTGTTCAAGGCCATTCAGATCAGAATACCAGGACAAACAAGATGTGCACATCCATTAACAGTTGCATGCTAGTCTGCCTGTAAAGCAGAAGGGGGGCTATTTACTTCAAAGCTGAGTACAGGGGTGGAATTACAAATCATCCTCTCACTGCAGTTGAAGCAGGTTTCTTCTAAGATAAGGTCTAATACTGGACTCAATCTGTTCAAAGCTGAGGGGAAACACCCTGGCATGGGGATGTGGATTGGGTCTCTGTCCTCCTGTGCCCTCTTGCATCTTTAAAGTTACCTAACACTTATTTGCTAGGCAAGTCAGGCATGTGTTTAATAAACATTAGTAAACGTAGTTTGACTAACAAGGTTGGTATGGGGCCCACTAATGCTTAACAGTCATAATAATTGCTTTGGGTTAACCTGCAGTAAGCAATTTTCATGGTAGTATTTTTTGATCGAAAATGTCCCATATGTATTCAGGAATTTAAGCATTACTACCTTTTTAGGTGTATGAGTATTATGTGTATCTAAAATACCAGCAAAACATTGTGTTATAAAAGCCAGTCAAGAGTATTCAGACAGGCAAACTTTGTAAATTGCAGGTATAAATCACTAGAACTGACATTCAGGTACTGGAATTAACTAGATTATGAAGCAGGCTATAAACAAAGTATAAGGACAACAGCATCCAAGAAGACCAATTGAAGAAAGAATCTTGTGAAGTATATCTTAACTACAAAATGTAGATTGAACTAAACTCAATGGCATATTGATTTTAAAATCACATGGGGTGACAGGGAAGATACTTACTTTTTCCAGTAAGTACTCCTGTTTTATTTCATTGTTGTTGAAGTCTTCATTAACTTCTAAAACCAAAATGGGTATGTCTCTAAGGTTGTCAAAATCTACCCTGCAAAACAAAATTAGAGTGTACTGTAAGTATACTTTAGCCATTCTATAGGAAAGTCACTTTGCCTTTCTTCCAGCAGTAATTAAACATCCCACTGTCTCAAATCAGCTATTTCTAGAAAACATTTGACCTAGACAGATGGTTTCATCAGATCTTAAGGGCAATGGGACATAGTTCACTTTCCTAATGTTGAGTGCTTACCTGAAAATAATCCCCAGTGACTTGATTGGAATGTTTGACTCTGACGAGATGCACTTAAAATTAATAATTTTATAAACTAACTGTGGTAGTTATGGCTCAGAAAAGCTGCTTCTGCTTGTCAGGATAAAGTTCTTTTGAGCTAACAGAAAGCTTGTATTGCCTTGATTTAGACATCAGTTGTCACATAACCTGGATTTTTTGCCATATGATAGAATAATTTTGACCACTAATTTGAATTATTTTTAGTTAAACCTGAGCTTTCAGTTGAAGACCTGTGTAACAGACTGGTAATAACACAACAATCCTAAAAACAAGCATTTAACAACAGCTGAACACTTGTTAGTATGCAGCTATTACTGTACTGTGAAGTAAAACTTTGACTCTTTCGGGACGGCATTCTGCAAGGAAACGTGATAGTAAGGCGATGTGGGCTAAATGTAATCTAGTGTACCAGATGAATTAGATTTTATGTAATCAGATGATTAAAGGCTTTGATTAGATGTTCTTGTGCCCCAGCATAAGTGTCAAAGGTGTAAAAGTTGCTTACTTCATTGTTCTCTCATGAAGCCAGGTTTCATGCTTATAGTGAAGGTTTTCTAGATATTCCAATGGAATTCCTTGTTCTTCTTCTCTTCCTCTATGTTTCAGCCTCTCCATGCATTTCTATGAATTTTAAATGCCAAAATAGAAAACCAAGCTGACTGGTTAATATGGAAAGTGCATCTAACAAGTTTTTTTTTACAGTGGGTACTCCATACCTTTACATGTAGCATAATCCCTACATAAATCCTTTAACATTTTGACTTAAACATTTGCTAGAAGCAGAAAGTGCTCTTTACTCCTTTGTATGCACTGTTTTCACTGATATGAGTTTTCTGCTGGCTTAAGCATGATGTAACACCCTAAACCAAAGCCTGCTAATTTGGAAGCATGTCATATTGATATCAGCTCAGTTTGAATTTACATTCAGATAAATAATCTTAGGATTGTATCCTTAATGAATAGTAAACTTGCTTGATGGAAAAAATGGATTTCAGATTCTTGATAATGCAGCTTGTTACTTAGAATTGGATACTGAAGATACAGCATGATTACCAAAATTGAGATGATGCACTGAAATGCATCTGCTCAATACTACTATTGTTTAAAAATCAAGTTTGGGATTTTTACCTTACCTGTTTTACATTTAATGAATAACATACTAACACAAGAATGTTTTAAAACAAATAGTTGAGTACCCATTGTTGTCTCTTGGCAACAGCAAATACTGATATAGAATCTCTTGACATCAGAATGACAGTCAATACATTTGGATTCTTGTTTTAGACTTGCCTCAGAACTACAGTTGCTCTAAGTAAGTAGCATTTGATTAAGATCAGTTTATTTGTGACACTTTATACTGTCCATTAATCCAAGTCTTCTGGGCAGTGAAGGAGAAAAGTTAAAGCTTTGTCTAGAAGATACCTCTTGTCACTTCTTGAGGACAATAGGTATAATTTAATATGTGTTGACCTAAAATAACAGTATAGTGATTTGGTCTTGTTTAGTCAATAACCTGTTTTATAGCTTCAGTAGTTGTATCAGTTGAAATAATGTGGCTCAGTAAATGGCTACTGAGTCTAGAGTCCTGTATAATAATCACCTAATTCTGTGCATACATGGATGCTCTTGCATTGCTTTCATCAGCCTTTGCTCTGGAAAGTTTCCTGAACTTCAAGAGCATCCTTGTGGGACACAAGTTGGAAAATCTCAACGTACACACTTTAGATACTATGAAAATATGTAGTTTTTATAAGGTTTTTCTTACAGGTGTATATGCATACTGTGAATCTCCTAATTTGGTGTTGATATTGCACCTAAAAAGTATAGCTACCTTTGAGGAAATTGGGAGTGACACTTACCTCAGGGGTTGTCCGAAGGTAGATAATCCCATCTAGCTCCAAGCTGGAGTCAAATTGGTTCAGAAGCCATGCATGCAAGTCCTGGTAAATAGCCCATTCAGTTTCATTTATGTCTCCTGATTCAAATGAGTTGGAAGCAAATACATACCTGGAATAAAAAGATTCTTGTATGTAACTAGATAAAATGTACTTTGAAACATCTGCAGAATTTTACTTTACATGGCTGAACAGAACTACAAGCCTTACAAGGGAGACTTAGAACCAAGAAAACATTGGCTGAAAAGCATTGATAGCCTATACTTCCTAAAATCTTCCTCTATCAAGTTTGGCAAATAAACTTGGCTCATTGAAACTAGCGATTTTGTGGAATGGTGTTGAAAAATGCAAGAGAGAATTTGGAAATCTTAAATAGGAATCTTGAGTTAACATTCCCATCAAATATAAATATGTCTAATTCCATAGGTACCACTTCAAAATGGGAAACTCATTGAGGATTCTTGCATTTGTAGTAATTAAATTGTAGCATACTTGTAGCTGCTCAGAACACATGTTTCTGAAAGCACTGTAATATTTTCATGCATATTCTTACCTATCACTGTAGATTGATCTCTCAAAAAACTGCACAGGATGTTCTGCTTCATGCAGTTTAGCAGAAACTGGTTTTAATTGTGCTTTAACTCTACTCAAACAGGCGTAAGTCTGGAATGTATAAGCCCATCGTGTAGGTTTGCTGTACAACATTTGAAGCAGGTTTCCACCACTCTTTTGAGATGTTGAAAGCTCCTGATGATAAAAAGATGCCTGTCAAGTACTACTCAGTCACTTAAGTTTCCCATGTATTAAAATCTACATTGGCCAGTTTTCTTGTAGGTAAAACATAGGATGGCAGAGAAGCACTCCTAGCTGTTGTGACTACTTCAGCACTTGTATTAACAGTCTTTAAAACTGGCTGGCTCTTGTCCTGAAATCATTATTCTTGATGGCTTTCATTAGCCAAAGTTTTAGGAGCACTTCATGATTTCTTTCTCCCTCCCGCACTGAGATACAACAGTTAGCACTTACTTGGCACTCATTTTCAGATGTTTGAATATTGCACCACTTGGCAATTGGTTCAGGAATTATTTCCCACTCATCACTGTATTTTTCTAATAGTTGGACAAATGTAGACTTTCCTGCAGCTGTGAAGAAAAACATACTTGGGGTAGGGATTTGTTCTATTAGAAAATCAGTATCTTCTGGTCCCTGACCATCTTTCAAAATCTTAAAATAACTTAAGTAACTCACTACCATGTGCATACTTACTGCTCCCCCCCCCAAAGCCCTTATTTTGGAGTGTTTTGGACTGTCCACATCTACTCTGTTTGCAGTCCTGAAAAGAATAGTGTAGCATGTTCTCTGAAAATACCAAGTGTGTGAATGTTCTGTCTCCAACAGAATCTGCCTTTACACACTATCAATGAAAAATACAAGCATGATTTTGGGGCAGCTTTATCTTGTGACTTGCTTGAAATTTTCCTCCATGAGGTTTTGTTAAGCTGGACCTACTTCTAAAATCACAGAACAGAAGTGAACCAAGAACTGAAGGCTGATTTGTTGGCTTATTTTCGGCATTGTTGAAGAGTACTTGCCTGCTTATGAGAGGTTTTGACTTTTTATGAGAGTTTTCATAGTTGTAGCTTAAAGGCGCCGTGGTGCCACACTGTTTCTGTTCACTGAGTTTAAGCGCCGGCTCGTTCGTTCCCTCCAAAAGAGTGAAAAACAACTTCCGGGCATTTGGCGCCATAAAACTTAGATCAGCCAACCGCGGAGTTTTTAGAAGAAAGGGAGAAAAGAGTAGCAGTTCTCCGCCAGCAAAGGGAGACTTTTTGAGGAATAAGCCTGAGTTGAACAAGACACGTTGCTTCACGAATGCATGCAAGTGTTAACAAAAAGTATACAAAAGGGCACTTACCGATATTCCCTTCAATCGAAACTTTCTTGAGGCGTTTTTGGAAGCTGCGATCCAGGGAGCCGGTCGGGCAGAGGCGCTTAGCTGGGGGATTCATGCCAAAAGTATTTGTTTGCTGCGGTACTGGAGGAAATGGAGCGAGTTATCCCCGCGCCTTTACTAAAGTTCAGAAGTCCCGCCTCTTGTCAGCCAATCTAAGGCGACGACCAGCCTCTGCCCTTGCTCCTCCTCCTAGTTTTCAAAAACGGTTTATTACTCTGTTCCCGCTTTTTAGACAATTCTAGAACACCCTGATAGTGGGCGGATGTTCAGACAAGCTTACAGTAGCCGCCCGTATTCACTAGCAGACTCTTTGCAAACACTAAGAACCAGACGCGGCTTGTCTTGTGGATCCAGCTGGGATTTACGATATAGATCATGGCTATTTTATGGAATGAAATGGTACCTTACCCAAATTGATTCTTAACGGTGTTCCTAGGTTGAGGAGGCTTAAGTATGCATGAAATCAGTGGTATAAAGCCGCCATTATATATAGAAGGGGCTGAGAATCAGGTGTTTGTAAAGGCTTTCGTTTCCGGTTTCCCTTATGGGGCTCACAGCATTCTTTAGACTGTTCCCTGGTACGTTTCGCCTGGGAAAGATGAAAACTTAAAAAATCGATAATTTTCTATTGCAAGAATGCTTAGGCTCACATTCTCGATGGTAGAACGCCTGAACGGTGGTCTTCTGCATATTTGATTAAGGCACGTTGCGAATTTTACAGTGCAATCAGATAAACATGTCTACTCAGAAACACGTCCTATTACAGTTGGGCTTACTCTCGGGGAAGTGGGTATAAGGATTGAAGCTTTAAGATGCACAATTTGTGTCGAAATGCGAAGGAGTGACATTGTACAGCTTTACTCTGATACACTTTGTTGACCGTGTCTCCGAGAAAAGCGTGGTGTCTCGTCCAAAGTGATTTAAATACTAGAGCTGCCACGATGTCCTGAGCTGCACGTACAGCATGGGAATTGTTGCTGATTAGTTGTTTTGTGGCTAAAGTCAAAACGAACGCGCGGACTCCTCGAGCGAGAGCTTTGTTCTTAAACGCGTGCATATGCCACCGCTAGACCTCTAGTTAAGCGGATGTACGTTCTCGGAGCGACATTGGTTGCGGTAGGAAAGTGTATTGTGATAGGCCCTATGCGATTTTACCCCGAAATTCAGTGGGAACTTCCCAAAGAAATGGGTGTAGGAATTTCCGGCCGCCTCCTAGGCTTTTTCGAGAGAAGCGAGTCTACTACTAGAAGGCATGCGCAGATGATAGTTAAAGGCGTTGGGGGAAGGGACCTGGCCGACCGTACGGTGCATGCGCGATGAGGGAGCTTAGGTACACGCATGCGCGCCTGCCTCCATTTTCGGCCACGCCGCGCCAGAGTTGAGGAGCAGGTGAGCTCGCTTGTAGTTTACTAGCGGTTAATCGCAGTCTTTTTGCTCTGAGGTCTTCGACTAGGCCAGCAGTCCCGCTACGCGGCTCTTTCTTTTCCGGGTTGCTCTCGGCGACTGAAAGCATTTCTTTTTGAGGCGGAGTCGGCGCCAGGCCTGGCCCGAGCGGAAACGCAGTAACCGCTCGGCGCCATTTGCTAAGAACGTACTCCCGCTCGGCCCTTCTGTGTTTGGAGAAGCGAAGTGACTCTTAAAACCGCCCGCGCTTCCACGGACGAAGATTTCTGTTCCTATGTGTACGTGCTGTCGATACTTAAAGTGGGGGACGGGAAACAGCAAATCCTTGCGGGGGAGGGTGCGTTGGCTTACGGATCTTCTGCCCCACTCAGTGTGGCGATGTCTTTGTTTGCCCCGTAGCAACAGAAGGGGAAACTGAGACTACACTCACTTCCAGCATGATGTTAAACACCGAAGGTGGCGAAGGTTATGTCGTTAAAGTGCGGGGGCTGCCCTGGTCCTGCTCTGCGGATGAAGTGCAGAGGTTTTTCTCGGGTAAGGCGCCTGCGTGTTCCCTTACTGTCGCACCCCTTTTAACTACGTCCTGCGATGGCATGAGTCTGCAGGGTGTACCCCAATATTCTCACAAAATGCAAAGCTGCTGCAGAGTTGTTCTTTCTTCTCCATTATCCTGTTTTATGTTACAGGTTGGATTAAATCTATTGCTCAGCTTTGGGGAAGTAGTAAGGTGCACATTTTAAAGTACTTCTGAGTACACTTCCCTATGGTAAGAGGGGCAGTCACTTTATTATAGTTGTCCTTTCAGAGACTATACCAAATGTAGTTTAAGTCTGTATTTAAGACTGTAAAGAATTAAGAATTATAACTGCTGATACTGAGGACTTGTAAAATTCACACCTGTTGCTTATTCTTGTTTTCTAGTACCTTCCTATGCACAATTTTGATTGTTAATCGGTGGCAAGTTCTGTGAAGTGCCATGTTCAGTGATCATGTATTTCTCCATACCTCAAGATACTTGAAAGATAGTTTCAGCGATGTCTGCTAAAAACTAACATACCATTATGAATCAAGCCTTTCCACACTTAAGTGCGTTCAACTCAATGGTGCTTATGCCAGAGGTCTGTCAGTGTGTTTTAACTTGTTCTTCCACTTTCTCTTAGAATGCAAAATATTAAATGGATCTTCTGGGGTCCGTTTTATCTACACAAGGGAAGGTCGACCAAGTGGAGAAGCATTTGTTGAATTGGAAACAGAAGAAGATGTGAAGTTAGCATTGAAGAAAGACAGAGAAACAATGGGACACAGATATGTTGAAGGTTTGGATTGAATTGCCATAGTAACTGACTAAATAGTGTTTGATTTGGGTGGAGTTTAGATGCATGACTATTTTCTGTGTATGTTACTGTGAAACTGTTCTCCAAATGATTGTCGTGCATTAACCTTTTTGTGCTAAATTCCAAAGTTCATTAATTCTAAGTGCCTCTTGCAGTCTTCAAGTCAAACAACGTTGAAATGGATTGGGTTCTGAAGCATACTGGTCCTAACAGCCCTGATACTGCTAATGATGGTTTTGTACGTCTTAGAGGACTTCCATTTGGTTGTAGCAAGGAAGAAATTGTTCAGTTTTTCTCAGGTATGTGGGGTACAAGTCTTAGTTATAGCTATGGGCAAAACTAGAATTTTAGTGGCACTGAATGCCCAGCAGCAATAGTATTGAAACAAATTATATTTAAACTGCCAATCTTGAATGGTTTGTGCCTCAAGTATTTTTAAATATAGAATAATAATTTAAATAGTCTGTGTCTTTGGGAACTGCCTCCAGAATTTAAAGTATTGTCTGAAACTTGGCAGCATCCCAACCACATAAACAATGTTTGGATGGCACTTTAATAAAGTAAATATTGGTAGACTGGAGGGAAAGTTACCTTCCACTTTACTTAGTCAAGCATTTAGAGTGTTTAATTATCTGACTTTGAATATCTGGATCAGCCTTCCCCATCCTGGTGCCTTCTAGATGTCTTGGACTCTACTCCCATCAGCTCCAGCTAGCATGGTCAGGAGTGTTGGAAGTTGTAGTTGAAAACATCTAGGCATGAGGTTGGAGAGAGACTGGTAATTGAATAAAACAGAGTAATTGAATATTGTACTCATAGCTTGGTTGAAAGAGTGATGAAATCTTGGAATTATGCTAAAATCCACAGTGGGGCAATATATGTATTAGGACTAATCAAATTTTTCTAAACAGTGACATTTCAGAAAGTGTCATCAGGTTAGATGCTATGCAGTGGGGGGAGGAAGATGGGGAATGATGCACAAATGCCCTTCAGTGTTGTAGTTATAAATTCTGCAGTTTTAGACTCACGAATTAGTCTGGACTAGGTGCTGCAGATACCTGGTTGCATTGCCCAGTGTGGATTTTGGAGTGTCTTGACCAATATTGTTTTTTGTCTTTTTACTTCAAAATAAGGAGTAGAAACTTTAGTTTTATTGTAATTTGTAGTAAGAGTACAGATTATATGTATGTTTACAAATATAAGTTACTTTCAAGATTTGGCATGTATTACAACTGTTTGCTTTATAAAAACTAATTTGAGGCTGAAATACTGCACATGCATATGAGAAACAAGGCTTAGATTAAAACAAAGATAAATCATCAGAATGTTTAGAATGTATTGCAATAGTTCGAATAAGTTTGAATGTATTTTTTGTTGAACTAATGGTGATGAGATCAACTTGCATAATTCTAGATTTATTGAACTTGTTATTAAGTTGTTTTTTACCAGTTTTAATTGTGTTCATATATATATTTGTTTGAAATTAGTATGACAATGCAGATTCTTCATTTCATTACTAGACTTGTTAAATATTTTGCATGAAGTTCTCTTTGAGTCTAATTAGGACTTGTTTGTAGAATTGATTTTGCTGTATTTTATTATCTATAGAATTGATTTTACTGTATATTTAAATATAAAGTAATAGATGAAATGTTTTTAGTAAAAATTATTTTAATGTTTCTCTTAATATTTCCTGCACTTAAATGGAGAGGATGTTAATTAAGTGCTGCAGAAATTTATGCAAGCAATCTGAGTTAAGAATCTGTCAGATTATATATATATATATATATATGATAAGTGTTTTGTGTTTGACATGTTCTTGTTCTAGTGTTAATAGTATACTATGCTGATTCTAAATTTAAAGTATAACTTCTGGTGTATTGTAAAGCTATAAGAAAATCATGATTGGGCTTGTGATGTTAATATTACCCCCCTACTGGGGTTATTTGTCCTTGGGTTGAAGGGTTGGAAATCGTGCCAAATGGGATAACATTGCCGGTGGACTTCCAGGGGAGGAGTACGGGGGAGGCCTTCGTGCAGTTTGCTTCACAGGAAATAGCTGAAAAGGCTCTAAAGAAACACAAGGAAAGAATAGGGCACAGGTGGGGATGGATGGTTGGTTGGATATGTCACTCTTCTTATGGTAAACTGTTGTTAAATCCATATTCTCTCTTCTTAAGTGCTTACCTTACTTATATGTAATGTCATACCCTACTAACACCTTCAATTGTGTCATGAATGTTAATTTTATGCTTATGTATGTGCAGATTGGCTGATGTGCTAGTTCTGCTATTCCCCAGACCACTCAAGCTGTTAATTCTGAACAACTTTAAAGATTTTTTTTAAGAAAGTTGAGAGACTATGGCTTTAAATTTCTCTAATAGCACCAATTATGCCTCTAG